TACGCCTTCTCCGTGTTGGAGGCCGTGCTCAAAACCAACCCCAAGGAGTTCATCGAGGCCGTGTCCAGGACCAGCATGGACACCAGCTCCACCGCGCACCTCAACCTCATCTCCAACCTCCTGGCACGCCACCAGGAGGCCCTCGTGGGCCAAAGCTTCTATGGCAAACTCCAGACCCAGTCCCCCAACGTGTGCCCCCACTCCCTGCTGATCGAGCTCCTCACCTACCTGTGCCTGAGTTTCCTGCGCAGCTACTACCCTTGTTACCTAAAGATCTCCCACCGAGACCTGCTTGGCAACCGGGACGTCCAGGTCAAAAGCGTGGAGGTTTTGATTAGGATCATGACGCAGCTGGTCGCTGTGGCCAAGTGCACGGAAGGGAAGAGCGTGGAGTTCATCCGCAGCCTGCTGCAGAGGTGCAAGGTGCAGGAGTTCGTCCTGCTGTCCCTGTCGGCCTCCATGTACACGAGCCAGAAGCGCTACAGCCTGGCCACCGCGGAGCGAGGCCGGGCCCCGCGGGAAGACTGCCTCTTCGAGGAGCAGCTCATCAACTTGGGCCAGGACCAGATCTGGAGTGAGCACCCCCTGCAGATCGAGCTGCTGAAGCTCCTGCAGGTGCTGATCGTCTTGGAGCATCACCTGGGCCAGGTCCACGAGGAGGCTGAGCACCAGCCAGACCTGTCGCAGGAGTGGCGGCGGGCCCTGGACTTCCAGCAGGCCATCAGCGCCATGCAGTACGTGCAGCCGCACCCCCTCACCTCCCAGGGGCTGCTGGTGTCTGCCGTGGTGAGGGGCCTGCAGCCGGCCTACGGCTACGGCATGCACCCGGCCTGGGTGAGCTTGGTCACGCAGTCCTTGCCGTACTTCGGAAAGTCCCTGGGCTGGACAGTGACACCCTTCATTGTCCAGATTTGCAAAAACTTGGACGAGCTGGTCAAACAGTATGAAAGCGAATCAGTGAAGCTCTCTGTCAGGTATGGCGACCCCTGGATGGATTGTTACTGCATTAGTGGCTGATTTGCCGGAGAAGCCAGCTGGAGGATGCTTTGAATCAGAAGCCTGTTTAGCATTGTCAGGAGGGTGACAAGGAACTAAATGTCCAGTTCAGCTATTTTTTTAAAATATCTTTTTGTTGATTTTTTTAGAGGAAGGAAGAGGGAGAGAGATAGAAACATCGATGCATCAGCATTGATAGGCTGCCTCCTGCACACCCCCCCACTGGGGTTTGAGCCTACAACCTAGGCATGTGCCCTGACCACGTATCAAACTGGTGACCTCCTGGTGCGTAGGTCAATGCTCAACCACTGAGCAACACTGTCCGGGCCAGATCCTCTGTTTTTAATTCCACCCGGCTACCCAGGCGGGCTCGGTGTTGCAGGACAAGTCAGTCACACTCTGTTAGTTTTGCAAAACAAATAAAAATGGAATCACCTTCAAAGAAATTCTAAAACATCTAAAAACATTTTTCAAAGTGACTGCATGAGTCTAAAATAGCACAAAAGATGCTACCAATATTGTAACAATATTTCATTACGCGAGTCCAAGTTTGTTTAAGAGAGTGATAGCTCTCTGGTTCCTATGTTTGTGTGTAGGACTAAACATCTTTAGAGCCTCATTCTTAAAAATCCTCAAAACCACCTTCTCGTTTCTCCACCAAAGCATCACCGCCAAGAGGGAAAACATCGCTCCGGATTACCCACTCACTCTTCTGGAAGGTCTGACAACCATCAGTCATTTCTGTCTTTTGGAACAACCCAACCAAAATAAAAAGGTAAGTTGTTGTTTTTTCTGAGTTGGAGGCAATTTTCATAATATTTTGTCTGGGTTATGACTGTTTCCAATAAGAAACGTTTGTATGCAAGTAATGCAAATGTGTATGCAAATCTATGTCAATAATGCAAGCGTGTGTGCACGTGTTTGTTTGTGGTTTTGTTCTCCTGGCCACTCCTTCCATCCTGGCCCATTGTTTCATCCGGAAAGTCAGTCGAGATAAAATGTAAAGCCACCTGCTCCGTTTTAGGCTTATATTCACTTTTTTCCACGAGCCTTTTACTCGCCCTGTGGTGTTCATGAAATCTGTGTTGGGACACAGCTGAGCTGTTACTGCTCTGCCCCGTCGGGCATTGAATTTGAGAATGCAGCCAGGGCTGGGGTTGAATGATGGAGAGCGTCTGTAACGTGCCTCTCAGACGCACGCCCCTTCCAAAGGAGGCCCTGGGTCAGAGGCACCGGGGAGCGTCCTTCCAGACCAGCGCACCGGGGACCTGCTGGGAAGCGGCTGCTGCCCTGGGGCCCCCGGCCCGGCCCGGCCCGCCCCGCGGAGAGGGAGCGCTGCTCCAGTGCAGCCAAGCCTCCCGCGCTCATTTCCACTGTCAGGCCGCGGCTGTGAGTGACCCCACCAGCCTGAAAAACGCCAAGAATGCCATTCTGGAGGAGCTGCCTTGCGTCGTGAACACCTTGGCCCTGCTCTGGGACGTGCTCAGGAGAGAGGAGGCGCAGAAGAGGCCCGTGGACCTCCTGGGAGCCACGAAGGGGTCCTCTTCCGTTTACTTCAGAACCACCAAGGTGAGAGCTTCCTCCGCCGTTTTGTTATTTGCTTCGTCTTTGTTGTCCCAACAAAAATAAAGGCACATGGGATACATACACAAATAATCAAACATACGTGCTCCGTGAAACCCACGTTAAAAGGAAGTTGGGAGTAGAAATCTCCAGTTTGTTTGTTTTGAGTAATTTTTCTTTTTGTTTTGTTAATCCTCACCCGAGGCTATTTTTCCATTGATTTTGAGAGAGACAGAGAGAGAGAGAGAGAGAGAGAGAGAGAGAGGGAGAAATATCGATATGAGAGAGAGACACATCAATTGGTTGCCTCCCACACACCCCCAAAAATCCATGTCATGAAAGGAGAGGGGTGAGTGATGTCCAGGGCCCTGTCTCGAGCTTATTTTAAGTTGATTAAGTAATAAAATTATTTCAGGGGTACCTATTTCTAGAAAATGAAAATAACTTTCCTCATGGATGTAAGATGGGCAGAGGCTGGGGGTTCGGTTGGGGACAGGGCTCCCTCCACTGCCTGGTCTCCCCTTTGTCACTCTGCAAAGCACGGGGTGGCTTCCTTCCAGCCCCCGCCCTGCTCATGGCTGTGGGGTGGCGGTCCTCGCCTCCTAGTCTCTCCCTGCTCCGCTCAGCCAGGCCTCTGTCTGCCCACCCACATCTGCAGCCACTGCACATCCAGGCCCCCCAGGAGCTCGGATTCCTGTCCCCACGGTGCTGGGAGCGCTGACCCCACCGGCACGGCCCTGCTCCAGGGTTTACAGCCGTGCTGGTCAAGTATCAGGAACAACAGGGCCCTGACACCACTCTGCCATGACGGGTTTTTTATTTTCCCATTTTTCAGATCATACGCCAAAAAATTTTAGACTTCTTGAACCCCTTGACGGCCCACCTCGGGGTGCAGCTGACGGCCGCCGTGGCGGTGGTGTGGAGCAGGAAGAGAGTGAAGCGGCACAGTAAGGTGAAGGTGAGCTAACAAGTCAAAGCCGTCGCTGAGCTCCCCTGACAAATACCAAGTTGTGTGTCATCCAAGATGACGTCAGAGGCCGACACGGGAAAATCCTGAAGCAGTTTCACCCTTTTAAATGCAAGAGACAGTGCAGCGGAGTCTCAGTACAGCTGTGTGCGGGCGGCTGGGGCAGGGCCCTCCCAGCTCGCCCTGCTCTCTGTAGTGAGTGTGGAGGACTGCTGTTTCACCGTTTCAACTCAGTACCTAACAGCATGCATGCAGCAGTGTCCGCAATGTACATTTCAGAGAATAAGCACCTGCCATGAGCCCACCACCTGGCTAAGGAAGGGCCAGTGTCCTACCTGTGAAGACCCCTGCTGCCCTTCCCTGGTTGTGATAGCATCTTACAGCTTTTTTTTCAAATCACTAAAAAAAATTTTTTTTAATTGATTTTGAGAAAGAGAAACATCAATTTGTTTTTCTACTTATTCATGCATTCATTGGTTGATTCTTGTATGTACCTTGACCAGGGATCAAACCTGCAATCGTGACCTATTGGGACAACACTCTGACCAACTGAACTATTCAGCCAGGACTAAATCATTTTTTTAAAGATTTTATTTCAGGGCAGTTTTAGATTCACAACAAAATGAGAGGAAGGTACAGAGAGTTCCCATATACTCCCCTCCCATAGCGGCCTCTCCACTGTCAGCATTCCCCTGTGACACGTCCTTCCTGCCCGAGTCCGTACTTAATGTCAGGCTTTTTAGTTTATGGAAATAATACTTGTCCGTGGTGGTAAGCAAGATCTACATCAGCACATTCCTGGGCCCAAACTGGAGTTTGCATGTCATCCATTCTTTACCTGCTGACTGGTCCATCGGAGATCCTCCAGGGCTCGGTTTACCTGTCTCTGCGAAACCAGCAGCCCTCTTCCTTCTCTCCGGCTCTTGACCATCCAGGGTCCTACCTTGTCCCTCCCTCAGAGGGTCTTCCCATCCCGGACACTCTCTCAGTGCCCAGCGTGGGCTTCTGCTCCCTGGGGAGGCGAGAGTGGCTGGCAGCCCAGCACAGGCACACGGCTTTGCACCTGTGCGGTCCTTCCCTGGTGATTAACCTGACACTTCCAAGTGCACATGACCATGGAGTGCAGACTTCTAGCATCATCGTGCACTTCCCACATCAGGGCTTCCTGCCAAGGCCGACAATGGAACCTGATTTATCAGGTTTTCTTCCTGCCTTTCGATCTAGAGGGCCATGTCTTTTTTTAAAAAATATATGTTTTTTTAAATTGATTTTTAGAGAGAAAGGAAGGAGAGGGAGAGAGATAGAAACATCGATGAGAGAGAAACATCAGCATCTATTGGCCAACTCCTTCACGCCCCCTGCTGGGATGGAGCCTGCAACCCAGGCATGTGCCGTGACTGGGAATCAATCCGGTGACCTCTTGCTGCCTGGATCGACTCAACCACTGAACCACACCGGCTGGGCTGTCTGGGTCGTAACGCTAGCCTGTTTCCTTCACATTATGTGTTTCTGTTCTAAAATGCTTTCTAAGCTTGAACATACCAGTCTCACTCCCCTGTCATCAAATTCACCTTTTGGTCCTAATTTGTATCAGATACTGGTTACGTTGTGATTAAATGCTTAACTCTCTCTTTATTCCCACCAATAGTCCTGACCCAGTTTTCCTTTAAATACTTAAAAGATAAAAAGAAATCTCTTTCTCCAGGGCAACTCTTAGAGAATACTTAGTGCATCACTCTTAATTTTGTCTTCTCTGTTTTTTTCTTGCTAGATAGTCCCTGTGGCAAGCGCGTTCCAGCTCACCCTCGTCGACCTGATGTGTGCACTCAGCACCCTGCAGACAGACACGGTGCTGCACCTGGTGAAGGAGGTGGTGAGGAGGC